TCCTCGAGGGTGGATTTTGTCGCACGAGCGTAGCGACCAATAGTCGCACACAATGAACTTAAAGCCAATTTTATTTGACATTTTATCTAACATCTGACAGCTGTCAATTAGTTTTAACCTTACTTTTTTTCAAATTTAACTTAAAGCTTACTTCAGCCCGTGGGTGAAATGCTATTTCGCCCACTTATGGGAGAAGTAAAATTTCGCTCACCGGTTCAAGTTAAGAAATGAAATGAGTGTCGAAAAAAATAAAACTTTATTTTTGAATTTTAACATTTTTAATGCAGTAGTAAAGAAAAGATGTTTTTTGTGAGAGCCATAAAAAAGTAATTATATCCTTAATGTCATATTGGTAATTTTACATTGATTACCTATATATAGCTATAAAGGCGATTTTAGTGGTAAGCTCATAAAAGTTCAGCTTTCAAGGCAATGTTATTTACAAAATTATCCATAATAAATTAAATATACTTTAGGTTGAGAAATGTTACAAATTGGTCTGTTGTAACTGTTTTTTACATTTTTAATACAGCTAAAAGTACTGTTTAATTTTTAAAGGAGAAATTTTAGTAAAGAAACATTTTAAATGATTTCCCGGCGCCTCCGCCAATTTTAACAAAAATTAAAAGCTTCAAATAAATTTTAACTGCATTTATTGTTTTGTTTCAGCGGATAGCAAATAAAATTTATATATGCACTTAATAGTATATTGTTATAGGAGAGATAATGCAGGCTATTATTCATAAGGATGAGGTTTGCCTAAATCGTCCGAGTGAGTAATGCGCATAATCTAGAGTGTAATACTGTACATTATCTACTCCAATAAGTAGATAATTAAATGATTTTAAAAAATAACATCTGTCAAATGGTTAACCTTAATTTTATCATTTTTAAATGTTCTCCCAATTTAAAACCCGATTGGATCAAATCACATTGAATATTGAAATCGGCCAATCACTGATGCCTAACAACGTGAAAAGGAGTTCATTATTCCCGTTGTTAGGCAGGGAATTTATAATGCTTATTCGCGAAAAAAACAATATTATGCAATAGGAGTAGATAAATACACTGTTATGAAGATCAGATTTGTTTTTGGGCAAAATATAAAACTTGTAAGTATGTAATAATAATGATTTATTATACTACAACATAATTTAAAAAAAAGCCAGCAATGAAGCATTGTAATTTACTAAAATTTCACAGTCCAGTCCAAAATAAAATACAAATCCATACCAAAGGGTAAACGGTCTTCAAAAATTTCTGGGGATACAAACGTTATGTAAGTAAAAAAAACATTATCATGGCAAACCTACCTTTAAATTTTGTTAAAGACACGCTTTATAAAAGCACACTTAACCTTACAATTAGGAATATCTAATCGAATTAACTATCATCAACCCACTAAACACGGTTAGAAAACAAAGGGCCTTGCACTGCAAGGCTTGCAGGGTACCGATTTTAATCGAAAGAAGGCGAATATTAGCGAATTAGAAGAATAACATTTATATTTAAGTTGAATTGAATAAAAAAAATACTCAATTGTTTTAATTTGATTAAACATGTTCTGTACTCAAATATTTAACAAATATTTTTGAGTTCGATTGTTTAGGAGTTATTTAAACTAATGTATTATATTGAAATTAACAATTTAGTAAATTGATTATTAAAGCAACATTTTTTATAAAAATTATTTTCATGTAGGTTCCCAATTTATAAAAATTCAAAATAATTACTAAATGTCAATACGTATATTAAAAACGACCTTAAACAGAGACAGTCACTTCAGAATTCACACAACATATAAATAAAAAAGTCTAGAGCATTCCGTACTCTACATATATCCAGAATTTTTGTCTAATAAACTATATATAACCTTGATATAAGAGGAAATATAAACAAATGGCTAATATCATATGTGTCCAACAGAAAATTTTATATTAAGGTTAATGAGGAAAATTCAAAGACATTTAATACGCACATTGGAACACATCAGGGTAGTACTCTGGGTCCCTTGTTATTAATCCTTTATTAATGATCTCCCCAAATACATCAATGTGGGAAAACTGTTTGTGTATGTACAAAAGTATACAAAAGTGCTATTTTAGTTCCACCCTTACTTCCTAAGAAGTCCCAGAAGCCAACTGAATGGCTTGAGCGGGCTAGGGGTAGGAACGGACCGCGGGCTTAAAGTCCCCTCCGAAGGACTATAATGATGATGTAACTATTGTTGTATATGGCAAGACCTAAAGTGAAATTGTTAATTTAATTCAAACTGTGATAACTGAGTTTAGCAACTGGTGTTTTAAAAATAGTTTATCCAAGGTTGGTCCTATATTGGCATATTATTTTACGCCAATATATCATTAACTATATATATAGTCAACGATGCTTTCGGATTTCTAAAAGTGGTATGTAACGACACACGTGTGTTTTCAGGATAAGTCTATATATGGGTTTCAATATTGGACCATGCTAGAAAAAATCTGACGAAAGATATATTGGCCCAATATTATTACGAATATTACAAAAAAAGTACAAAAATTATTATTAATAATTTAAATTGTTAATTATTTATTATAGGATTTTGTAATTAAATCTACAAAATGTTGGTTATAATTACAAACTACTTATTGAATTAGTTAACAGATTACAGTTGGTTGTTGTAAACTTAACATAAAATTGTGTGGACCTGGATTAACATTTGGTTAAAATTATAATTTAAAGAGACGGTAATTAAACGGTGAAATCACGCTGTTTTTGCGATAAATTCTCGGTGATTTCACGGTTAATTCACGGTGATTTCACGGTAAATTCACGGTGAACTCAAGTTTGCAAAATCACCGCAAATTCACTGTGAAAGTACCGTAAATTTATCGTGAAATCACCGTGAATTCACCGTAAAAGCGCTGTAAGTGCAAGATTCGCGCAAATTGTAAGTGTAAGATTCGAACAATCTGCTAATTGGTTATTCCCAATACAATACAAATATCGCAAGAGGGCTCTCGTGTAGCTGCGCAAAATTAACGAAGTTGAGACGCCATCATAAAGAAAAAAACAACAAGTTGGACGCCATTTATTAGCGGTTTTTTTTATTAGTCGATTTCTGTGTTAAGCGGTTTAAGCAATACATTTCACGGCTGCTTAAGCAAGCGAGCTAACTATAAATAGCGTTGGGTTACAATATTTAGTTGGAAGTGTGCGTCTGTAATGGCATAGCTGAACATTAATTAATCCTCATCTGCTCAGTAACAAATAATGGCTAGCTATAGTCGATTGTGTTAAACCTATAGGATATACCTACCCTTGCGGCCTTGAGTTCACGGTTTATTCACCGTGAATTCACCGTGAATATACCGCCAAAATACGGTGGATTCACAATTAAAATACTGTGAAAAGTGCGTGAATTCACCGTCTAACTACCGTTTACAAATGTCACAAACAGACGGTTTATTCACGGTGAATTCACAGTGAATTCACGGTGAATAAACCGTGAACTCAAGGCCGCAAGGGAACCGAAATAACTATTTGAAAACGAATAAAGCCAAAATGTGTTTTAAAAGATTTTCTTTTATATGAACCTAACTTGTTTTCACCTTTTTTACCTTTTTTGGAGGTTTTTGCTTTAAACTACCTTTTTTATACTTTAGTTACCCATTTTTTTAACTTGTTTTCACCTTTTTTACCTTTTTTGGAGGTTTTTGCTTTAAACTACCTTTTTATACTTTTGTTACATATTTTTTAATTTGTCAGTTTATTTTCACCTATTTGTTACCTTTTTTACGTATTTTTACTTATTTTATTTTTTTTGTGTACTTTTATCCAAGGCGTGCAACTCAACGGTATAGAATTTTTTTTTATGGTCACAGACTGTAACAGTAACTTTCTTTGCAGTTACCTTCTTTGTAGTGAGCTTATGTTCTGTCATAGAACTTCTGTGTAGTGAGTGCCACTCAGTGAAACACAGTTTATTGCATAGAAATCTATAGAAATAGTTTATTGTGGGTATGTTCTGTGTTTGGGTATGCGGCTAAACAAAATTATAAAAAATGCCCAAAACCAAAAAAAATCCTCTAAATAAACTCAGCAGTTGGATAGAGGGGAAGAATAAGATATTTTCTATTGACGGAAAAAACTTATTTTGTAGAGTTTGCTGTAAAATTGTAAGGACTTTGAGGTTATGTTAAAACATCTTTCTTTAATTTATATACATCTGTTGAGCAAAAATCACATATATATCAACATGAAAAGTCAATTAAACATGTGCAGAACGCAAGAAAATCTAAAAAATTCGGCCAAATAGCAGAAAATTCAGGGGACAATTTTGTCTCAAAATATAGAAAAGATTATTATTTGTTACTCAAGTAGTAAAGTTACATAGTGGGTAAATATTAGGTATTCCATATTTTTTAGTTCCTTCTTGCTTTCAGTTATATAAAAAGTTTTATTTTATGTTACTTTATCGTTTGTTACTATAGTAGTAAATTTGGTAAATATCAGCTATTCCCTGTTATATTATCAGTTCCTTATAGCTTTAATTAACTATTGGTCAGTTTATAAAAAAAAATATTTTATGTTACTTATTTTATAAAAATAAACGAAACTTCAAATTTTAATGTTTTTTTTATCTAAAATGCTGTTTTTTTAACCTAAAATGCTTTCTTTTAGTACCTTTTTAGTTACCTATTTTTCAGTTTTTATAAAAACTATAGTACCTAAATATCCCATCTTTAGTAATTATAATATAACATATTGTGTTAAATATTCCAATGACTCATGGCATTTTTGTGGGTAACTCTATCACGGTGCCCATCTACCTTCGACATTTCTTGGACTGACCAATGCGGGTTGTTGGCGGTCCACCTACGCCGCTCTTCAGAGCGATTTCGGATGATGAACCGCCTCCAAGTGCCACGGGAAAGAAGAGGGGTCCGCATCCGTGGCGGTTGTGGCGGCGACGGCGGCGGCTATATATGCCGCCGCCGAGCGATGCGCTCTCTCAATCCAACGCTGCACATCGCCCGCCAACTCGAGATCGCCGTCCCCGGAAGAGCCGCCAACAAGTCGAAGAAGTTCGTCCGCTGTAAATTTTTTGTGGGGTTGCCATCTTTTGTGTTTTGGGTTTTTTCAAAATCTGCGTCAAAAGGTGAGTTTACATTGTTTTGTTTTTACTTAAGAAATGTTTTTGTCAAAAATCGTATAATTGTTCAAACACTTTTTTGTACTTTATAATTATTTTTAAGGAACAAAAATTTGACAAATTTAAATTAATTATTTATACAGTGTATCGCATTTAAGATGAAGACACCCCCATATTTTCGCTATTTCAAGGAATAGAGATTTGAATTTTTAGCACATTCATACATGTTGGTGGGTCACATTTTTTAAGATACTCAACTGAAATCTGAACTTTAAACTTGGCCTACTACGAATTCATAAACGGGGCCAGTTGTCGATATTTTGCTTTGCGTTAGAAATATCGAAAAAAGTTATTGAAAAAAGTTGTTCAGAATATTATTCTAACCTCGTATACCGATTTTCATAGCAAAATTCGCATTTCTAATTTATTTATTTTTATTAGTTTTATTATTGTTTTATACCATCTCCTTAATTTAATAAATTATAATTGATTTGTAATTTCCAAAAATTGTTTTAATTATTTATTTAACGGTCATAAACACTAGTTAGTATCAAATTATTACTTTCCATGGCTCCCTTATTATCAAACTAAAAAATCAACTTGTAATAATTTTGTGTGGACCAAAATAAAAAAAAATAAAAATGCGAATTTTGTTATAAAAATTGGTATATGGGGTTAGAATAATATTCTGAACAACTTTTTTCAATAACTTTTTTCGATATCTCTAACGCGAAGCAAAATATCGAGAACTGGCCCTGTTTGTGAATTTGTACTAGGCCAAGTTTAAAGTTTAGATTTCAGTTGAGTAGCTTAAAAAATGTGACCCATCAACATGTATAAATGTGAAAAAATTCAAACCTTTATTCCTTCAAATAGCGAAAATATGGGGGTTGTCTTCATCTTAAGTGCGACACATAGTACAAAAATATATACGTATAATATATAATTACCTTTTTGCATTAAATTTTTTTATTATTAATTTTCCATAATACTTAAACTTGTAAATTTCAGTTTTCATCAAAACATTTTCTATTCGAAGAACTTGTGTTTTTAACAATTAAAAAGATGCAAAATTATGAATTAATTAAAATCAATTAATATATCAACGACAAAACTTTTATTTTTATCTTCTTAAATGAGAACTTTAAACCTCTGCAAAGGTACTTCTTAAACTCTAGAAATTTTCTTGCAGAGCTCTGTAAGAAAATTTCTAGAATATAGAAAGTTCTACCACAAAATTGCTTTAAATTGCAATGACGTCATAAAAACCAGGTGCATCAAATTAAACATGCAATTCAAAGTTTTTCTTAATAATTCATGCCAAACCATCCCGCTATATTGATTTATTGACAAAGATACAAAACGTAGAAAAACTATTGAATTATTAAGTAAATAATTATTTTGAATTGTAAAAAAATGATTTAGATATAAAATTATCTAAATGTTATTTCTCGCCGTTTTAGTAAATGACCCTCATGCCGGCATACGTCCCCATAGACATATGTTTTGCACGAAATATATTGATTTTTTTGTGCTCAATTAGAGGCCAGATAAATGTTCTTGTAAAATATAACCACTTCAAATGTGTATTGATTTTTTGTAAAGTGACGATAATTGTAAAAATCACTATTACTAAACAAAAAAAACACTTTAAATCCTTTTTTAACTAGTAAAAAAAATTGATCTCACGATCTTTGATAATACTTGTTTTCTCAGTTTTAAGATTAAAAAAATGGTAAAGTAAAATCAAGGTAAAGTATATACGAGGTGTGTTCAGAAAATATCGGGAATTTTCGTTTTTTGAAACAAATATTTATTCGTCTACATTAATGTTGTCGCCTTCAAAAAGTCCCTATTGGATATTATGCACATGTGCCAGCTCTTCTTCCAATACTCGAAACACTTCTAAAACTCGATCTTTGGGATAGCCTTTAGTTCTTTCAGCGATGCGCTTTTAATGTCATCTATGCTTGCAAAACGACGGCTCTTTAAGGTTCTCTTTATTTTTGGGAATAGGAAAAAGTCAGACAGAGGCATGTCTGGCGAATATGGAGGCTGGGGCATCATTACAGTATTGTTTTTGGCCAAAAATTTTGTTCAAAATTTAACAAATTTAGAACAAATTTTGCTGCCACGCGTTTCATACCCAAAACATTCGAAAAAATTTCATAGGATAAGCCAATCGATATACCAACATCATCAGCGACTTCTCTGATGGTTTATATTATAAGAAATGGTTATAAACTTTATAACCATTTCTTCCACTTTTTCCATGTGCGTTCGGGGCGTTCGTCATCTTCAACGTCTTCACGGCTATCTTGGAAACTCTTATACCACTTGTAAACTCTTGTTTTACTTATAGCAGACTCACATAGGCCTTTGTTAACATTTTACAGAATTTATTTCATTTTTTAAGCAAAATTGGATACAAATTCTTTGATCCGTTTCTTTTAACGAACGAAAAATCGCCGAGCTCATAAAACACGTCTAACCTTAGCGGCTGTCAAAGACAAAGTAAAACATGAAAACAGCTAAAGTTTTATAATACTTCGGGGGCATGTATACCAACATAATAAAGAATTTTATGACAACCGGACCCTCCGAACCCGCGAAATTTAACAATTACCGTTATTTTCTGAACACACCTTGTACAAGAAGCGCAAACTTTAAATTTAAAACATAATTTAATTTTTTTTACTAAAATACCCTGTTAATGGTTTTATAGCAAGTAACAAAATGGGTTATGTTCCTATTTTTAGGAACTTTAAAAGGCAGTATAAAAAAAAGAAAGACTAGTTTTTTATCTTGCAATATCTTTTAGTTTTAAGATTAAAAAATGGTAAAGTGAAATCGTAGTAAATTACATACTAGAAGCGAAAATTTTAAATTTGAAACATTTATTTATTTTTACTAAAATACGCTGTTAATGATTTTATACCAAGTAAAAAAATAGGTTATGTTTCTATTTTTAGGAAGCAGTGTAAAAGGAAAAAAAATGGCTAAATTTTTCTCTTGCAATATCTACCATCCCTCTACTAATTATAACGCCTATAAATTTTAAAATGGCCTTTATGGACCTAATTTTTTTACCCTTTCTGTACCAAAACAAATATGATCAGCTGAAACTTTCAAAGGTACACTAAATTAAAATTATATTTTTTTACTAGGCGTTTTAATATTTTTAATGCCGACGAAGGTGTAGTAAAAGTTAATTTTGCCGCATTATAAAAACTAATTCTACCCTTATACGCTTTGAAATTTTACCACTGGAAATTAATGAACATTTTAGCGAAAACAATTTAGAACTGCTTTTGATACATTCCATTGGAATGATTCCAACAATATTAAACCATGTAGATAAACAAACAGTGAAAAACATTTGAATTATACAGTAGGATATTATTTATACGGAATATTGGTATAAAAGTATCTATAATAATAAAGTTGAGGTATTAGTTCTGAGGTGGTTTAATATTTCCGTCGCACAGTGGTCCTAAGCGCTCGAAAAGCTGGCCAAAAATAAAATTGTAAGCGTTTTTTTTAATAATCAGTATTTAAGGGTTTTTATGTTCAAAGAATTCAAATTTAATGTTAAAATTCCCAAAAACAAAATGGCGGATCCAAAATGGCGTCCCATTTTTGTGCAAAAGCATGCTACTACTATCGCGAGTTAACAAATTAAATTATTATGTTTATTTTAAATGTGTTTCCTATGTTTCTCGTCAGACATTTCCAATATGCTTTTTTCTTAAAATTCGAACGTTTTTATCCCTATTTCTGGCTTCCTGAGTAACGTATTTCCGTATACGTAAATTAGTACAACATGAAAAGAAGTTGGCATTGGATAGGGGGAACATTTTTTCATTTTTGTAATAGATGGCTCTGTAATGAAAAAAAATCAATTTTGTTCGATTTTTCTCCTGTAGGTATAAGATTCTCCAATAATTTTTGAATAAATCAATTGGTTTTATTTTTTTAATTTCTTTATTTTTTTAAATTCAATCCATTTATTAATTGGCATTTCGTTTTATTATTCTGCTAACACTGCTCTGGGATATTCCCAAATCTCTAGATAATTCTCGTGTGCTTGCATGAGGATTAGCGGCCGTTGCATTAATTTAATTATTTCCACCTGTGACTGTTGCTCGACGAACTCTTTTTTTCGGTTAAACATTCCCGTTTGTAGTAAACTGCTTGACTGTGCGGTGAAATGAAGTGCGTGATCGAATTTTATCCGGAAAACGCTGAGCGTAGATATTAACAGCATCATCAAGATTCCTGTCTGCTTCTCCATAAATCAAAATCATTTCTATTCTTTCTTCCACAGTTAAAAAATCCATTATGAATAACTGCTTAACGAAAGGAGGTCTTTTTGTTTGCAAATTAATGTTCGAACTAAATTGATTAAATAATGCTAAACTATAAATAGTTTCTTTATACCTCAATAATAATTACTATTTATAACTAAATACCATTTTTTATACCTCAATTAGGATTAAATTAATTAATTGAGAAAATAATGTTTTTTTTTTACCTTAAATGAGGTATTTTTATTAAAAATAGTACAATAATTCTTCAAATTAAAGGATTTAATGCTGGCAGGTAAAAAGTGACCATGGTGCGCAATTGATAATTATCACCGAATGAAATAATGTATACATATATATAAAACTTAAACCAAAGGAAACTTAAATATTAGTTAAAAAATAGTGGGTACTTAAAAAAAAATCAGATTTAATTTAATAAGATAATTATTACCAAAAAAGGTGATATTTTTATTGAAAAATTATTGGAGAATCGTATACAGAATAAAAATCGAACAAAATTAATTTTTTTTCATTACAGAGCCATCTATTACAAATATGAAAAAATGTTTTAGACAAAATCTACCTATTTTTAGTCGAATGATAAGTCGATGATAAAAAAGGTGTTCCATTGGAAATTTTAAAGTTACCCCCTGTTCCCTGTTCCTCCATTTTTTGTAAAATACATACAAACTGAGATAT